CTTAATTTTGAACCAGTAGCTAGGAAACCAGATGATAAGTTGATGAAAATATTTAATTAATTAACTTCACTTTGAATAACCAAGTTGCCGAAATTTATTTGTAATATTTCACTTCTGGGCAGTGTCAGGGAATGGAATTCATAGATATTGAAGTACTCACTAATTTAAGAACTATGTCATTTGTTTCGAATTACAGAATATGGTGTGGGTGGGGAGGTTTCAAAAGAAGGTGATGTGTACAGTTATGGAATTCTTTTACTAGAGATGTTTACTGGTAAAAGGCCTACTAGCAGCATGTTCACTGATAGCTTTAGCCTTCATAACTATGTTAAGATGGCACTTCCAGATGGAGTGATGGAGATTGTTGATTCCCTACTGATACTGGAAAATGAAGCTGCTTCTAAAATGACCAATGAATGTAACATTGGGAGAATAAAAGAGTGTTTGGTGAGCATTGGAATTGTATGCTCTTCCGATTCCACAAGAGAACGGATGGATATTAGCGATGTTCTCAATAAACTCCACAAGATTGAAATGCATTTTGTGAAATAAGAAGCTAATGCTTGTAGTAATGAACTTGTGGGACTGTTGAGTGTGATTTTTGATTTGAGGTTCTGCCTCAACATTTGGTACTTTTAGCAACTATATCCTTATGTAGAAGAATGAATTATAGTTGTAAATGAGTGTTCTATTTCACATGATGAAAACTTTAGAGTAGAAATATTGAATCTGCAGACAAGGGCCACTCTTTCAACCAAAAGATAGCGAGTTTGTCGCACTGTTTTGCTATTTTTTTAATAAATTCTATCTTTTATTTTTATTTTTATTTTTTTTGGGTAACAAATACAGTTTTATTAATCAATTAAGATAAAGCCAGCCTTCTTAAACTATCCACATTCAGTCTCTCCATAAAAGCAGTTCGAGCAATACAATGGCAACTCATTTGGCTCCCTTGTCCCTAAGTATACTTCAAAATTCTGTTGCATCTTCAAAAGATTAACCATATCTTGGATGCTGTATAAAAAGGTAGACAATCTTTTTGACAAAGAGCTCTGTCTCCCTGTTGGTGATTTTGATCTGGCGAGGTTTCTTTTATCCACCAATGATAAATTTGATCACAAATGAACTAGTTCATCAATTGGAGTTAAGAGGGATGGTTATGCTGCTCTAGTTAATTTACTATCATATATTTGTTCTGTTTATTTCCGCTGATATCTATTTCCAAATGTAATTTCTTATGGGAGAATATATGTAGTTTTCAGCCTATTTGGCTATAAAATTTGGTCACTGTTTAGGAACATGGGCGTGCCAGAATTAGCCAAGACCGGGCAGTTGTAGAAGAGAAAGAATAGATCAAGGACTTTAACATCTTGTGTACTTGAGATTTCTCAATTCTTTAACCAAGTACAAATCTTAGATGTCTGTATTTAAATAAGAATGGATTTGGGGGTTTATTTAAATAGGATGGATGGAAACTACACATGTGGAAGCTTACAAAAAGGTGATAAGAACCTCATTAGCTTTAGATAATCTCGTATTAAATGAGAACATGCTCAAAGGAAGCATTCCTCAACATCCCAGGAAAATTCCATCATCTATTGGCAGCATAATTTTCTCAGTTAAGTATGTTTGCCTTCCAAGAAAATATGGTAGAGGGAAGCATACCTGATTCTTTGGGTAATTGGAAAAATCTACAAGCATTGGATCTCGGATACAATCACCTCACAGGAACAATAAGCAGCCAAATTCTTGGTCTTTCTTCCCTTTCAATTGCTCTTTTATTAGATTATATAATAATTTAAGTTAGATTTGGACCTGATCCTAGTTCCCTAGTTATGATTTATTTGTAATGCATGCCTTCCTGCCTTTGCTCTATGGGGACGGTACAGTTTTATACATTGTAGTTCCGGGGTAATTTAATTCTGTTGGGAGTTTTATGCACATTTTTTTTTTTATAATAGAAGGAAGTTTTATGATTTTAACCCAAAAAATAATAATAGAAGAATGGTACATTCACGAACACATTGCAGAAACAATTTGATTAACGAGCTTAGATTTATAGAAACAAATTTCAAATTCAAAGCAACAAATTCAGAAAATTGAATAGTAGTATTAACCAGATTTGAGATCGAGTAATTACAGGGGAACGGTGCTTTTGGCGACGCGATGAGCTTCGTTGGCAGAGAGGCCAATAAGCACGAAACGGACAGAATAGTGAAAGAATGTTGGACGGGATGGTGTCGTTCGTACCAGAAGATGCGTTGGTACAGAGGCACCGGTTAAGGTCCGTCGGCAGCGGAGGGATCGGCGGCGCGAGGGGTGAAAAGCCGCCGGAGGAGTGAAGATGCGGTTGCTGCAGTTACAGAACGCTTCTTTTGGCAGGGAAGAGGGTGAAGGAACAGTTGACATTTGTGATTTGTCATCCGATGCAGTTGGATTTGGACATTTGGGCCTGGGCCTAGTTGCCCTTGTTATACTTTATTAGCATTGAATGGGCCATTACTGGGACCTGTACAGTTTTATATAATAATATTCTCTAATTCAATAAAATCAAAATTTAACTTTCAAAATAAGAAAGAAGATAGTTATATGTCTCAACTCTCAAGTTATGATATAAGTTTAATTACTAGTTTATGTCCTCATTTTACTGGAAATGTTTATTAGAAAAAGGCCTACTTGTGACATGTTCAATAACAATTTTAGCCTTCACAACTATATGTTAAGATGACACTTTCAAATCAAGTTATCAATTTTATGATTTTATTTATTTATTATTATTTTAAAGCTAAATATGTCCCTCTCAAATTTATGTCCCTCTCAAATTTTGAGATTGTCTCCAAATTAAAATTTATTGATGAAGCTTACAATGGCTTGGCTACAAAATCTGAAGGTTCAAACTTGGAAAGTTTGACAAATCAAATTCAAATTTCTTTCCAAATAAAAAAAGGATAAATATTTCATATTTTTAAAATTTTAGCACTATTATTATTAGTGTCCAAATAAACTTACTACCCCTCTGGGCCCATAAATAGAGGACCACTCAACACATTCCATACTCCTAAATGTTACTAGTATGTCCAAGTTGTTTTATTTATATATGAGAGAGAGAGAGAGAGAGAGAGACGGTGCTAATGGACAGATTGGAAGCAGACGAATATCTTCAGCCCACCCAAAGAATCTTCCACCGGCCCAAAATTTTATCCATTCATTTTAACCATTGCGGAAAGTCATCTCAGTGGACAGACTTGAAGCACATTCATTGACCAAGTTCTGAGCTCTCTTCTTTATATATATATATATATTATATGAAAAACTGCAGTCCTAGTTAAATTTGTTATATGAACAAGAAGAAAACAAAGGCATTCATGCCTTTTAATAATGCATAGGCAAAAATGGATTTCGTCCTATGACAAAATGACAATACAAAGTCTTATAAAATTGTATATTTTCTTTTGTTCTGAGCTGTTCAGTGACCCAACACTGTAAATTAAACCATGAAGCAAATGAATCGTGAATCAATACAAAGCCTACTTGTGGATCAAACATACATAGTCAATGGCAATGGACGGCATGAAAGCAAATAAAGTGTTTTCTTGACTTCATTATGTGAATTTTCTGCAAAGCTTACTCAATCAAATAAAGGGAGGTTGGCTTATAAATTTGGCCATGATTTGCACCTAAAAACAAATCACCTTTCACCTTCTTTTTCTGGTTTATCACTACAACTGCACCAAGTCATAATTTCTGTTCACCGTCAGCTTCCTGAAGCACACAGATATGGTTTCAGGGCTATTAGCTTCATCTTCCCTCCTCTTTTACATCCTTCTTCATGCATGCTTCATTTTACTTGCCTCAAATACCACTTTTGGCTTCGCAATGAGACAGACAATCAAGCCTTACTAGCCATCAAGAATCAAATTGCTAAAGACCCTTTCCAGGTCTTTAGCTCATGGAATGATTCTATCCACTTTTGTAACTGGAAAGGAGTCACATGTAGTCGTCGGCATCATCAGAGGGTGACCGTCCTAAACTTGTCTTCCCTGGAATTAGTTGGTTCCTTGTCTCCACACAAGAACCTTACCTTCCTTAGAGAGATCAGTCTTGAGAACAACTACTTGCATGGCACTATCCCACAAGAAATTGGTCGATTGTTTCGCCTACAACATCTTTCACTTTCTAGCAACTCCTTTCAAGGTGAGTTCCCTAGCAATTTGACCCATTACTCAAACATCAGAGTCATCAATGCATCTTCAAATAATCTTGTAGGAAAAATTCCTAGCGAACTGGGATCATTGTCTAATCTTTTAGCATTGAATCTTGTTAGGAATCATCTCACTGGCAACATACCACCTTCACTGGGGAATCTCTCCTCTCTTCGCAAACTTTTTCTATACTCTAACAATCTAGAGGGAAGCATTCCTTTTGAACTTGGAAAGCTTTCCAACTTACAGTTTTTTCAATTGGGTTCCAACAATTTGTCCGGAATGGTTCCTACTCCGCTTTACAATATATCATCCATCAATTCCTTCTCTCTAGCTGACAACCAGTTAGAGGGAAGCCTCCCACCAGAACTGGGATTGACCCTTCCAAAACTACAATCATTCTTACTTGGTTATAACCTATTCTCTGGGCCCATCCCACCATCGTTGGTTAATGCTTCCGCACTTGCTGTGTTTGATATTAGTACTAGTTTTTTTAGTGGGTCTGTAACAATGAATTTGGGTAGCCTTCAAGACCTAAAGTGGCTGAGTATTAATTATAACCAACTCGGAACTAAAAGAGCCGGTGACTTGAGCTTCCTTGATTCATTAACCAACTGTACCAATCTACAAGGTCTATATTTCGGTGGGAATTATTTTGGAGGTGTATTGCCCAATTCAATTGCAAATTTATCCACCAATCTCACAACACTGGTGATAAGTCAAAACTACATATCTGGAAGCATACCACGAGGAATTGAGAACCTCATCAACTTAAAGCTTTGAACCTTAGATGGGAATATGCTCACTGGCAGTATTCCTGAATCCATTGGAAAACTTTCTAATTTGGAAGAACTCTTCATTTCCGCTAATAATATCTCAGGAAAAATTCCATCATCTATTGGCAACATGTCTCGGTTGAGCATTATTGCAATAGGAAGAAATATGCTAGAGGGAAGCATACCTGTTGCATTGGGAAATTGCACAAATCTTCAAGGATTGGATCTTAACCGTAATCACCTCACTGGTGCAATACCCGAGCAAGTTATTGGACTTTCTTCCCTCACTGTTGGTCTCTTCTTGCAACAAAATTATCTAACAGGAGCCCTACCACCACAAGTGGGTAACTTGAAGAATCTTGGGAAATTGTATATTTCAGAAAACAAACTTTCTGGAGAAATCCCAAGCAAACTTGGTGATTGTCTAGTGTTAGAAGCCCTGCATATGGAGGGTAACCTTTTTGAAGGAACTATTCCATCATCTTTACCGCAATTAAAAGGAATTCGCGAACTAAATCTTTCTCGTAATAGTTTGTCTGGTCGGATTCCAAGCTTTCTAAGCGAGTTTCGATTGATTGAATATTTAGACCTCTCTTATAATCAGTTTGAGGGTGAAGTTCCAAATGAAGGAGTGTTCATGAATGTTAGTGCATTTTCAATTGTGGGAAATAACAAACTTTGTGGAGGAATCAAGGCATTGCAATTGCGTGCATGTCCCACACAAAGGGAAAGAAAGCTCTTTGCAGATAAAGTGGTAATTCTTGTCACAAGTATCACTCTTTCTACATTTTTGTTGATAGCATGTGTTTCTGCTGTTTTTTATTTGATCAAAAGGTCAAAAGAAAAATCTTCCGTAGATTGTTCATTGGGAAATCAGTACCCAACACTCTCTTACGCAGAACTTCAACAAGCTACCAACGGATTCTCTTCAGCCAACTTGATTGGTGCGGGGAGTTGTGGCTCTGTTTATAAAGGAATTCTCAACTCTGGTGAACTAGTTGTCGCTGTGAAGGTATTCAAGCTTCAACTATTTGGAGCCAATAAGAGCTTCCTGGCTGAATGTGAAGCTTTGAGGAACATTCGACACTGCAACTTGGTCAAGATCATCACATCTTGCTCAAGCATGGACTTTAAAGGAAATGATTTCAAGGCTTTGGTGTTTGAGTTCATGCCAAATGGGACTATAGAGAGATGGTTACACCCAACTTTATATGAGAAAGAGGACTTGAGTTCATCTGTGCTACTTTACTCAATGAGCTTGAACCTAATCCAAAGGCTAAACATTGCCATTGATGTGGCCTCTGCATTGGATTATCTTCACCATCATTGCGAAACAACAATCATTCATTGTGATCTGAAGCCAAGTAATGTTCTTCTTGACAACGAGCTCTGTGCCCATGTTGGTGATGTCGGTCTGGCGACGTTTCTTATGGCTACCGAAGATAAATCTAATCATACACAAACTAGTTCATCAACTGGAGTTCGAGGGACAATTGGCTATGTTGCACCAGGTAATTTATTATATCGTATAATTTTTACGTTTATTTCTTTTGATATACACTCTCATTATAACTCCATACGAAAATTTACTTAATTTTGAACCAGTAGCTAGGAAACCAGATGATAAGTTGATGAAAATATTTAATTAATTAACTTCACTTTGAATAACCAAGTTGCCGAAATTTATTTGTAATATTTCACTTCTGGGCAGTGTCGGGGAATGGAATTCATAGATATTGAAGTACTCACTAATTTAAGAACTATGTCATTTGTTTCGAATTGCAGAATATGGTATGGGTGGGGAGGTCTCAAAAGAAGGTGATGTGTACAGTTATGGAATTCTTTTACTAGAGATGTTTACTGGTAAAAGGCCAACTAGCAGAATGTTCACCGACAGCTTTAGCCTTCATAACTATGTTAAGATGGCACTTCCTGATGGAGTGATGGAGATTGTTGATTCCCTACTGATACTGGAAAATGAAGCTGCTTCTGAAATGACCAATGAATGTAACATTGGGAGAATAGAAGAGTGTTTGGTGTCCATCCTGAGCATTGGAATTCTATGCTCTTCCGACTCCTCAAGAGAACGGATGGATATTAGCGATGCTCTCAATAAACTCCACAACATTAGAAATGCATTTTGTGAAATAAGAAGCTAATGCTTGTAGTAATGAACTTGTGGGACTGTTGAGTGTGATTTTTGATTTGAGGTTCTGCCTCAACATTTGGTACTTTTAGCAACTATATCCTAATGTAGAAGAATGAATTATAGTTGTAAATGAGTATTCTATTTCACATGATGAAAAACTTCGGAGTAGAAATATTGAAACTGCAGACAAGGGCCACTCTTTCAACCAAAAGATAGCGAGTTTGTCGCACTGTTTTGCAATTTTTTAAATAAATTCTATATATTTTTTTTGGGTAACAAATACAGTTTTATTAATCAATTAAGATAAAGCCTTCTTAAACTATCCACATTCAGTCTCTCCATAAAAGCAGTTTGAGCAATACAGTGGCAACTCATTTGGCTCCCTTGTCCCCAAGTATAATTCTGTTGCATCTTCAAAAGATTAACTATATCTTGGATGCTATATAAAAAGGTAGACAATCTTCTTGACAAAGAGCTCTGTGTCCGTGTTGGTGATTTTGATCTGGCGAGGTTTCTTTTATCCACCAATGATAAATTTGATCATAAACGAACTAGTTCATCAATTGGAGTTAGGAGGGATGGTTATGCTGCTCTAGCTAATTAATTATCATATATTTGTTCCGTTTATTTCCGCTGATATCTATTTCCAAATGTAATTTCTTGTGGGAGAATATATGTAGTTTTCAGCCTATTTGGCTATAAAATTTGGTCACTGTTTAGGAACATTGTTAGTTCGGGGGTAAATTAATTTTGTTGGGAGTTTTATGCACATTTTTTTTTATAATAGAAGGAAGTTTTATGATTTTAACCCAAACAATAATAATAAAAGAATGGTACATTCACGAACACATTGCAGAAACAATTTGATTAACGAGCTTAGATTTATAGAAACAAATTTCAAATTCAAAGCAACAAATCCAGAAAATTGAATTGTAGAGAGCGAGTAATTACAGGAGACCAGTGCTTTTGGCGACGCGACGAGCTTCGTTGGCAGAGAGACCAATAAGCGCGTAACGGACGGAATAGTGAAAGAATGTTGGACGGGATGGTGTCGTTCGTACCAGAAGATGCGTTGGTAAAGAGACACCGGTTAAGCTCCGTCGGCAGCGGAGGAATCGGCGGCGCGAGGGGTGAAAAACCGCCGGAGGAGTGAAGATGCGGTTGCTGCAGCTAAAGAACGCTTTTTTTTGGCAGGGAAGAGGGTGAAGGAACAGTTGACATTTGTGATTTGTCATCCGATGCAGGTGGAGTTGGACATTTGGGCCTGGGCCTGGGCCTGGGCCTGGGCCTAGTTGCCCCTGTTATACTTTGTTAGCATTGTATGGGCCACTACTGGGACCTGTACAGTTTTATACAATAATATTCTCTAATTCAATAAAATCAAAATTTAACTTTCAAAAGAAGAAGAAGATAGTTTTATGTCTCAACTCTCAAGTTATGATATAAGTTTAATTACTAGTTTATGTCCTCCTTTTACTGGATGTGTTTATTAGAAAAAGGCGTACATGTGACATGTTCACAAACAATTTTAGCCTTCACAAGTATATGTTAAGATGACACTCTCAAATCAAGTTATCAATTTTATGATTTTATTTATTTTTTATTTTTTTTAAGCTAAATCATTATCTACCATATGTCCCTCTCAAATTTTGAGATTGTTTCAAAATTAAAATTTATTGATGAAGCTCACAATGGCCAGTCTTCAAACTTCGAAATTTGACAAATCAAATTCAAATTTCTTTCCAAATAAAAAATGATAAATATTTCATATTTTTAAAATTTTAGCACTATTATTATTAGTGTCCAAATAAACTTACTCCTAAATGTTACTACTTGCTAGCATATCCAATTTGTTTTATTTATATATGAGAGAGAGAGACGGTGCTAATGGACAGATTGGAAGCAGACGAATATCTTCAGCCCGCCCAAAGAATCTTTCGCCGGCCCAAAATCAACATTTTAGCAGAAAGTCAATCCCAGTGGACAGACTTGAAGCACATTTATTGACCAAGTTCTGAATTCCCTTCTTTATATATATATATGAAAAACTGCAGTCCTAGTTAAATTTGTTATTATTTTTTTTTCCGGAAACGACCAATGCATTAAGATAACGGAGGAATACAATCAAAGAAGGCAGTGTCTAACAGCCACTGGGCAGACGCTCCACTCAAAATCACAACACTTGGCTGCGAGAGCCATTTTGCTCAACAAATGAGCTACACCATTGCCTTCCCGTGACACCTAAGCCAAAAAAGTTCTGTGACACATCTCAAGAAGAGAGCGCACATCAAAGAAAATTGCATTCAAAGCGTCAGTAGAAGCGAGCAAAGACATAACCGGTTAAATTTGTTATATGAACAGCAAGAAAACAAAGGCATTCATGCCTTTTAATAATGCATAGGCAAAAATGGATTTCCTCCTATGACAAAATGACAATACAAAGTCTTATAAAATTAGCAGTTTAAATTGTATATTTTATTGCTATGTTTTCTTTTGTTCTGAGCTGTTTAGTGACCCAACACTGTAAATTAAACCATGAAGCAAATGAATCATGAATCAACACAAAGCCTACATGTGGATCAAACATACAGAGTCAATGGCAATAGACGGCATGAAAGCAAATAAAGTTTTCTTGACTTCATTATGTGAATTTTCTGCAAAGCTTACTCAATCAAATAAAGGGAGGTTGGCTTATAAATTTGGCCATGATTTGCACCTAAAAACAAGGCACCTTTCACCTTCAGTTACTGATTTATCACTACAACTGCACCAAGTCATAATTTCTGTTCACGGTCAGCTTCCTGAAGCACAAAGATATGGTTTCAGGGCTATTAGCTTCATCTTCCCTCCTCTTTTACATCCTTCTTCATGCATGCTTCATTTTACTTGCCTCAAATACCACTTTTGGCTTCGCAAATGAGACAGACAATCAAGCCTTACTAGCCATCAAGAATCAAATTGCTGAAGACCCTTTCCAGGTCTTTTCATGGAATGATTCTATCCAGTTCTGTAACTGGAAAGGAGTCACATGTAGTCGTCAGCATCATCAGAGGGTGACCGTCCTAAACTTGTCTTCCCTGGAATTAGTTGGTTCCTTGTCTCCTCATATAGGAAACCTAACCTTCCTTAGAGAGATCTATCTTGAGAACAACAACTTGCATGACACTATCCCCCAAGAAATTGGCCGATTGTTTCGCCTACAAAATATTTCGCTTGGCAACAACTTCTTCCAAGGTGAGTTCCCTATCAATTTGACTCGTTGCTTAGGCCTCAGAGTCATCAATTTAGCTTGGAACAATCTTGTAGGAAGAATTCCTATCGAACTAGGATCATTTACTAATCTTTTACTATTGGATCTTACTAAAAATCATTTCATTGGCAACATACCACCTTCACTGGGTAACCTCTCCTCTCTTCGCGTACTTCTTCTTGACTATAACAATCTAGAGGGAAGCATTCCTTTTGAACTTGGAAAGCTTTCCAACTTAGTTTTTTCAATTGAGTTCCAACAATTTGTCCGGAATGATTCCTACCCAGCTTTACAATATCTCGTCCATCTATTTCTTTGCTCTAGGTGACAACCAGTTAAGCGGAACCATCCCCCAAGAACTGGGATTGACCCTTCCAAAACTACAATCATTCTTATTTGGTGTAAACCAATTCTATGGGCCTATCCCACCATCATTGGCTAACGCTTCAGCACTTGTTTATTTTGTTTTTCAGTGGGTCTGTACCAATGAATTTGGGTAGCCTTCTAGATCTGAAATGGCTAAATATTAACAATAACCGCTTTGGAAATGAAAAAGCCAATACCTTGAGCTTCCTAGATTCATTAACCAACTGTACAAATCTAGGATTTCTAGATTTAGGTGGGAATTACTTTGGGGGTGTATTGCCCAATTCAATTGCAAATCTATCCACCAATCTCACAATACTGCAGATAAGTCAAAACTACCTATCTGGAAGCATACCGCGAGGAATTGAGAATCTCGTCAACTTAAAGCTTTTAGCCTTAGATGGGAATATGTTCACAGGCAGTATTCCTGAATCAATTGGGAAACTTTCTGAGTTGGAACAACTCTTCATTTCTGCAAATAACATCTCAGGAAAAATTCCATCATCTATTGGCAACATGTCTCGATTGAGTATTCTTGGTTTAGGATGAAATAAGCTAGCGGGAAGCATACCTGGGTCTTTGGGTAATTGTACAAAGCTACAAGAATTGGATCTTCAAGTTAATCACCTCACTGGTGCAATACCCGAGCAAGGTATTGGACTTTCTTCCCTCACTATTGGTCTCTTCTTAAATCAAAACTATCTAACAGGTGCACTTCCATCACAGGTGGGCAACTTGAAGAATCTTGCGAAATTGTATATTTATGAAAACAAACTTTCCGGAGAAATCCCAAGCACTCTTGGCGATTGCCTAGTGTTAGACGTCCTGTATATGGACGGTAACCTTTTTGAAGGTACTATTTCGTCATATTTACAGCAATTAGAAGGAATTTGAGACCTAAATCTTTCTCATAATAGTTTGTCTGGACGAATTCCAAGCTTTCTAAGCGATCTCCCATTGATTGAATATCTAGACCTTTCTTATAATAAGTTTGAGGGTGAAGTTCCAAATGAAGGAGTGTTCCTGAATGTTAGTGCATTTTCCATTGTGGGAAATGACAAACTTTGTGGAGGAAATAAGGAATTGCAACTGCCTGCAAGTCTCACACGAAGGGCGAGAAAGCTCTTTGCACATAAAATGATAATTCTTGTGACAAGTATCACTCTTTCTACAGTTTTGTTGATAGCAAGTGTTTCTGCTGTTTTTTATTTGATCAAAAGGTCAAAAGAAAAATGTTCAGTAGATGGTGCATTGGGAAATCAGTACCCAATGCTCTCTTATGCGGAACTTGAACAAGCTACCAATGGATTCTCTTCAACCAACTTGATTGGTTCGGGGAGTTATGGTTCTGTTTATAAAGGAATTCTTGACTATGGTGAACAAATTGTTGCTGTGAAGGTTTTCAACCTTCAACAACTTGGAGCCAACAAGAGCTTCTTCACTGAATGTGAAGCTTTGAGGAACATTCGCCACCGCAATCTGGTCAAGATCATCACATCTTGCTCAAGCATGGACTTCAAAGGAAATGATTTCAAGGCTTTGATCTTTGAGTTCATGCCAAATGGGACTTTAGAGAGTTGGTTACACCCAAATCAATCTGTGCAGCGGGATCCAAAGAGCTTGGATTCAATACAAAGGCTAAACATTGCAATTGATGTGGCATCTGCATTGGATTATCTTCACCATCAGTGTGACACAACAATCATTCATTGCGATCTAAAGCCAAGTAATGTTCTTCTTGGCAATGAGCTTTGCGCTCATGTGGGTGATTTTGGTATATCAAGGTTTCTTGGAGGCACCAAAGGTAAACCCAATCGTTCAAAATCTAGTTCTTCAATTGGCATTAGAGGAACTATTGGTTATGTCGCACCAGGTAATGTTTTGTCACATAATTATTGCATAATTACGTACACCTCCTTTTGGTACATACTCTCTGATTTAGTTTCTTCAAGGAATTATTTAGTTTGGGACTAAGGTGCACCTTAATACTTGGTAAATGAAACTTGCTTAGATTCTATTTTGAACCACATCTTGGTTATTTCCGAGATGACTCTATTTTGCGTAACCAGGTTGGGCATATTGTAATTGTAGAATTTCACATTTGTGCAGCAGTGTCGAGGATGATCCTTGATGAAAATAATTTAGTACTTCAGAAATGTTGAAGGACATTACTAATTTAGGCAATATGTCATTTATTTTTTGTAGAATATGGTATGGGTGTAGAGGTTTCAAAAGAAAGTGATGTGTACAGCTATGAAATCCTTTTACTGGAGATGTTTACCGGAAGAAAGCCCACAGACAGCATATTTATTGAAAATTTTAACCTTCAAAACTATGCAAAGATGGCGCTTCCTGATAGAGTGATGGAGATTGCCGGTTCTCTATTCTTGTTGGAAGAGGAGGATGCTCAAAGGGCCAGCCAACATAACATTGGTATAATAAAGAGAGCTGGGTGTCGGTCCTTAGGATTGGAGTGATATGTTCATTTGAACTGTTGAGAGAACGGATGGATATTAGGGATGTTCTCATGGAACTCCACAAGATTAGAAACACACTCTTAGAAGAAGCTGATGTCATGTGATAAAAACTTCCGTGGTTGTGACTGTTTAAAGTATTTGTTTTGTTGTATTTTATTTTTTACTTTTGTATATGTTGTGTCGTTGTCGTTTGAGGTTCCGTCTTAGGACTGGCATACTTAGCATATTTGAAAGTACAATAAAGTTGCTGAGAACGAAATAAATATAACAAGCGACTAGTTGATTCTCATCTGCATATGAATTAAACAATTGATGGTTGGCTATTTGATAGAATTATTCAGATATTTGTGGATGTTTGATGACATGATTAGGATCCATGGTAGAAATAAATCTAAAGTGTCTAAATAAGTTTTTTTTCCTTTGCTCAGTCAGTTACTTTCAAATTTCCCAAAAATAGAGCACCTGTTGAATATTGATTTTGTGATGCCTAATTTGCTTAATTTTGAACCAGTAGCTAGGAAACCAGATATAAGTTGATGAAAATATTTAATTAATTCACTTCACTTTGCATAACCAAGTTGCCGAAATTTATTTGTAATATTTCACTTCTAGGCAGTGTCAGGGAATAGAAAGTTAGGAATTCATAGATATTGAAGTACTCACTAATTTAAGAACTATGTCATTTGTTTCGAATTACAGAATATGGTATGGGTGGGGAGGTTTGTAAAGAAGGTGATGTGCACAGTTATCTCCATAAATAACATCTCAGGAAAATATATTTTTGAATAAATCACTAAATCACCTCGTGTAATCTCTCTTTCCTCAGGAAAAGTGAGGCCTTCGAGTTTTATAGCAAACATTTGTTATGGATGTATGTGTAGGTATTTAGCCAATATATATATATATATATATATATACTTTGTACGAGGAACACCAGGACTCCATACCATGTTTCAAAAACATGTAGGCCATTTTTTTTTTAGTAATGAAGTCGTTGATTCTTGGCTTAAAAGCAATGCTAATTTGAGAGCGAGGAATGTCAGAACAGCCCTATTATCCATTTGAATGTTATGTTCAAATAAAACCAAACAAAAAACAACTGCGTGAAATGAAAAATATTCAGGAGAAGAGTGTTTAACAATCACTAGAGCCATACTCTCCACTCCAAATCACCACAAACGGCCACAAAAGCCTTTTTACCAATCAAATGAGCCACAATATTACCTCGCTGCTCCACCACCACATTATGGTACCCCCAACCTTTCAAAAGAACCAACGCCTCCCTTAGAACAAGGCCCTCGGCAAGAGGAGGACTGCCAACATTGTCAAAAAAACACCGAGGCAACTTTTATGGGTAGACCCATATGGTTTCGAAGAACAATTCCACCCCAGCAAATCTTCCTGGCCGAACAAAAAGCTGCGTCAAAATTCAGCTTTAAATGACCAGCTCCGGCGCGCACCACTTCGCTGGCGGTGAAGGAGAAAGCGGCATTTGAATAATTTATATATCACGTCCTTGGTTTTTCATATTGATCACCTAGGATCTAAAATTCTTGATATTCAATTTTCTTTGTTTTAAGCCATAATTCAATTTTAATTCATTTTATGTTTCTCTAATTTCTATTCTAAGGTGTCAATTCAGTACTTCTAAATTAATTTAACTTCCTAATTCTTAATATCCAAATTTCTTTGTTTATAAACTAGGAAAATAAAACTAAATTTTCTTCAATTTTAATTTTACGACGTTGATTCTAAAAACATCCAATTTCCTTTGTTTTCCTTTGTTTATAAAAATCTTAACAGATAGGAAGGAGTCAAATGTGTTCAGCTCACCCAAAAATCTTCCGCCGGCCCCAAATCAACATAAAAACTATAGTAGGAAGTCATCCCCAGTGGACAGACTTGAAGCACGTTGGCCAATTTCTATACTCCCTTTTATATAAATATATCTACAAATTTTCTATGAAAAACTGCAGTTCTAGTTGCTTTCTTTTGTTCTGTGTTGTTCAGTGACCTAACACTGCAAATTGAACAATGAAGCAAAATGAATCATGAATCATCACACGGCCTACATGTGGATTAAACATACAGAGTTGATGGCATGGGACGGCATGAAAGAAAATAAAGTGTTTTCTTAACTGCATTATATGAATTTTCTGCAAAGCTTACTCAGTCAAATAAATGGAGGTTGGTTTATAAATTTGGCTATGATTTGTACCTAAACCTCATCACCTTTCACCTTCATTTTCCTTCATAGTTTATTCTATGAATATCGAGCAGCTATACTACAACTGCACTAAGCCGTAATTTCTCTTCACATAGGTTCTTAACACGCCACAATATAACATATTGGCTTCTGCTTTTGTTCCAACATAGTGTGTTTACACTCCCCCTGTCAGCTTTCAGAAGCACAAAGATATGGTTTCAAAGCTATTAAGTTCAACTTCCCTCCTCTTTTACATCCTTTTTCACGCAAGCTTCATTTTGCTTGCCTCAAATTCCACTTTTGGCTTCGCAAATGAGACAGACAAGCAAGCCTTGCTAGCCATCAAAGATCAAATTGTTGAAGACCCTTTCCAGGTCTTTAGCTCATGGAATGATTCTATCCACTTTTGTAACTGGAAAGGAGTCACATGTGGTCGCCGGCATCAGAGGGTGACCATCCTAAACTTGCCATCCTTGAAATTAGTTGGTTCTTTGTCTCCTCATATAGGAAACCTTACCTTCCTTAAGGGGTCAATCTTGAGAACAACTACTTGCATGGCACTATCTCCCAAGAAATTAGTTGATTATTTCGGCTACAAATTCTTTCGCTTTATAGCAACTCCTTCCAAGGTGAGTTCCCTACCAATTTGACTGATTGCTCAGACATCAGAGACATCAATATATCTTCAAACAATCTTGTAGGAAGAATTCCTATCGAAGTAGGATCATTTTCTAATCTTCTACTATTGGATCTTTCTGGAAATCATTTCACTGGCAACATACCACCTTCACTGGGGAATCTCTCCTCTCTTCGCGTACTTCTTCTTGACACCAACAATCTAAAGGGAAGCATTCCCTTCGAACTTGGAAAGCTTTCCAACTTGCAATTTCTTCAATTGAGTTCCAACAACTTGTCTGGAATGATTCCTACCCCACTTTACAACATCTCATCCATCCATATCTTTGCTCTAGCTGGCAACCAGTTAAGCGGAAGCCTCTCCCAAGAACTGGGATTGACCCTTCCAAAACTACAATCATTCTTCCTTGCTATTAACCAATTCTATGGGCCTATTCCACCATCATTGGCTAACATTTCAGCACTTGTTGATTTTGATAGTAGTGTTAATTTTTTCAGTGGGTGGGCAGCCTTCGAGATCTAGAATGGCTAGATATTAATATTAACCGACACGGAACTAAAAAGGCCAATGACTTGAGCTTCCTTGATTCATTAACCAACTGTACAAATCTAGGATTTCTACATCTAGGTGGGAATTACTTTGGGGATGTATTGCCCAATTCAATTGCAAATCTATCCACCAAGCTCAACACATTGGATATAACTCAAAACTACATATCTGGAAGCACACCACAAGGAATTGAAAACCTCATCAACTTAAAGCTTTTAGCATTAGATGAGAATATGCTCACTGGCAGTATCCCCGAATCCATTGGGAAACTTTCTGAATTGGAACAACTATTTATTCCTGGAAATAATATCTCTGGAAAAGTTCCACCATCTATTGGCAACATGTCTGGATTAAGTATTCTTGCATTAGGAGATAATATGTTAGAGGGAAGCATACCTGTTGAACTGGGTAATTGCACAAATCTTCAATCATTGGATCTTCAACTGAATCACCTCACTGGTGCTATACCTGAGCAAGTTATTGGACTTTCTTCCCTCACTGTTGGTCTCTTCTTAAATCAAAATTATCTGACAGGAGCACTACCATCACAAGTGGGTAACTTGAAGAATCTTGGGCAATTGCATATTTCAGAAAACAAACTTTCTGGAGAAATACCAAGCACACTTGGTGATTGTCTAGTGTTAGAATACCTACATATGGAGGGTAACCTTTTCAAAGGTACTATTCCATCATCTTTACAGCAATTAAAAGGAATTCAAGAACTAAATCTTTCTCATAATAGTTTGTCTGGACGGATTCCAAGCTTTCTAGGCGAGTTACGAATGATTGAATATCTAGACCTTTCTTATAATAAGTTTGAGGGTGAAGTTCCAAATAAAGGAGTGTCTATGAATGTTACTGCATTTTCAATTGTGGGAAATGATAACCTTTGTGGAGGAATCAAGGCATTGCAATTGCCTGCATGTCCCACACAAAGGGCAAGAAAGCTCTTTGCACATAAAGTTGTAATTCTTGTGACAAGTATCACTCTTTCTATAGTTTTGTTAATAGCATGTGTTTCTACTGTCCTTTATTGGATTAAAAGGTCAAAACAAAAGTCGTATTCAGATCGTCCATTGTGAAATCAGTATCCAACGCTCTCTTATGCAGAACTTCAACAAGCTACCAATGAATTCTCTTCCGCCAACTTGATTGGTGCAGGGAGTTATGGTTCTGTTTATAAAGGAATTCTCAACTCTGGTGAAGAAATTGTCACTGTGAAGGTATTCAACCTTCAACTACTTGGAGCCAACAAGAGCTTCTTGGCTGAATGTGAAGCTTTGAGGAACATTCGCCATCGCAATCTGGTAAAGATCATCACATCTTGCTCAAGCATGGACTTCAAAGGAAATGATTTCAAGGCTTTGGTCTTTGAGTTCATGCCAAATGGGACTTCAGAGAGTTGGTTACACCCAAATCAATCTGTGCAGCGGGATCCAAAGAGCTTGAATTTAATACAAAGGCTAAACATTGCAATTGATGTGGCATCTGCATTGGATTATCTTCATCATCAGTGTGACACAACAGCCATTCATTGTGATATAAAGCCAAGTAATGTGCTTCTTGACAATGAGCTTTGCGCTCATATGGGTGATTTTGGTCTATCAAGGTTTCTTGGAGGCACCAGAGGTAAACCCAATCGTTCACAATCTAGTTCTTCAATTGGGATTACAAGAACAGGAGGAACAATTGGTTATGTCTCACCAGGTAATTTTTATCACATAATTATTGCATAATAATATACCTCCTTTTGCTACATACTCTCTGATTTAGTTTATTCAAGGAATGTATTTAGTTTGGGACTAAGGTGCACCTTAATACTAAGTATATGAAACTTGCTTAGATTCTATTTTGAACCACATCTTGGTTATTTTCCAGATGACCGCGTTTTGCGTAACCAGGTTGGGTATATTGTAATTGTAGAATTTCACATTTGTGCAGTGTCAAGGATAATCCTTGATGAAAATAATTTAGTACTTCAGAAATATTGAAGGACATTACTAATTTAGGCAATATGTTATTTATTTTTTGTATAATATGGTATGGGTGTGGAGGTTTCAAAAGAAGGTGATGTGTACAGCTATGGAATCCTCTTACTAGAGATGTTTACTGAAAGAAAGCCCGCCAACAGCATGTTTATTGAAAATTTTAGCCTTCATAACTATGCAAAGATGGTGCTTCTTGATAGAGTGATGGAGATTGCTGATTCTCTATTCTCGTTGGAAGAGGAAGATGTGTCTCAAAGGGCCAGCCAACATAACATTGGAAAAATAAAAGAGTGCTTGGTGTCGGTCCTTAGGATCGGAGTCATTTGTTCTTCTGAATTGTCGAGGGAACGGATGGATATTAGGGATGTTCTCATGGAACTCCACAAGATTAGAAACACATTTTTGAGAAGAAACTGATGTCATGTGAGAGAAACTGCCGATGGTTGTTCACCCAGGAACAAAAAATCTTCCAATGGATGTTAATGTTTAAAGGGTTTTATCGTATTTCATTTTTACTTGTGTGTGTATTGTTGTCGTTGAGGTTCTGTCTCAGGATTGACGTACCTAGCATGTTTGAAAGTACTATAACTTTGCTGAGAACAAATTATATATAACAGCGACTTGTTGATTATCTGCGGATGAATTGTACAATTGATGGTTGAATACTGTATAGAATTATTCAGCCATTTATGGATGTGTGATGACATGATTAGGATCCATGGTACAAATAAATCTAAAATGTCTAAATAAGATTTCTTCCTTAGCTCAGTCAGGTACTTTCAAATTTCCAAAAAGCAGATAATGGTATGTGTCTTTCAACATGATAATGGTAGGTTAAAATATTAAACTAATGCCAGAGTAGATTGCCATGGATTAAAAATAAATAAAAAAGGTCAAAGATTGCTATGGATAAAGAAACCAGACAATTTTCCTCAAGTATACTTGGTTTTTGACACAATGCTTAGCTAGATAGATTACGAGGTTTCTAGGCAAGTTTTCATTAGTTAAAAATCTCAATCTGTATGGCTGTATATGGTTGAGATAAGAAGTCCCAAATGTGGGAGTGTTAATGCTCAACTATGGGAGATAAGAAGCTTTGTTAAAAATATAGAGGCATTGCAATTGCCTGCTTTTTATGTTTAAACTACAAGAAAAGTAGAGAAGAAAATGGTACTGCCATGAAAGTTATATCTTCATTTTTCTTTAAGTAAACGTTTATTAAAAAAAAGGACCCAGGGAAAGGCCTAGGCAAGCGTGGGCAGGGAAAGGCCCAGGCAAGCGTGGGTTCAAACTCATAGCCACACATATGCGCCCCACCTGCTGGGTCTGGGCTTGGGCTTTGTTCTAAAATTAATTATGTTTATGGATGTAAACAATTCATTGAGGGCAGTATGTGAGTATCAACTAGGGAAAAAAAAAAAAAAAAGAAAGAAGAAATAAATGGAGAGAAATACAATGTATAAAGATCAGAACATGATATCAGCTAAAATAAATACCAAATGTCAGAATCTTCTACCAGCTCAAATCATGATCTTCACCTTCAAAGTCATAGCAATTATGGGATTTCTTTAAGCAGGAAGTCAAGTGTGAATGGACAGAACCGAAGCTGATAACAAGATGAGTATGCATTATTTTTGCTCAATGACTTATTTTCTAAGTCTTCATATCAATAATTTAGGGGGAAGCATTTGTTTACTAAAGATTCTTTGCCAAGTCTTCATATGCATTTGTTTTATTTAATGCTTTTTTTTTTTTTTTTTTTTCCTGAGGATCATTGACTTATTTCATACAGCGTAATATTAAAAATTTAGTGGGATGGATTTGTTTATAAACAAATCTATTATATATTCCTATTCTTACTTTACAGTATGTACCTACCTTCTCTATAAAATTCAGCATCAAAAGCCCATAATTGAGGGTTGAACAACCATTAAAGACAATATTTTATTGGACAGGTTATTTTGAGAATAGGATCCACTCCAGTGCACTGTTTTCAATGCACTGGGATGGTGGGGAAGGATTTGATAACCTAAATTTAAGTTCATTGGTTTTGGTTTAATAAGAGCCATACAAGGATTTTAACAACATGTGAGGAGTTATTTAAAATCCTTAGCAATAGGATGCAAGAAGTTTTACTATTTGAAAGTTGTTCATGCCTTATGTTATACAGTTTGTTCTTCATTGCTTCCCTGGTGATTTAAAATGGATTATATGTAATGGAAAAATGAGGGGAAAAAAATTTGTTAGAATTAAGGGGCTTAAGCAGATTTTGTGTGAACAGCTTAAAACATTCAGTCTCACCCAGGGTCCTACAGTTAAGATTTAATATACAGATGAAATGGAAATGAATGTCATGGAACAAATAAATATATTTACTTGACTTGATTCCACAAACTCTCGGTGGGGATTACGCAGCCCGAGTCTGTGGTTTATCCTTTTACATGTAAATAAACCTAATAGCATGCATCTCCATTTTTTATTGTATGAATTTTCAGCAGCTGCGGTTGCAACTGCTCTGTCATAAGTTTCTACAGACATAGGATTTGATCATACATATTGCAGTTTTGAACAGTCCAAAGTCTAAAAAGTCCACCACATTATATATAAGAAGGGACAGGCTTATGCATTTTATCTAAACTTCCTTTTATACCCGAGCCTCTCTCAGCTTCCTACATCTTCCAAAACCAATGAAGCACAAAAATACGATTTCTAGGCTCTTAAGTTCATCTCTATATCTCTCTTACATCCTTATTCAGATAAGCTTTGTTTTATTGGCCTCAAACATCACATTCTATACCACTTTCGGCTTCACGGATGTGACATACAAACAAGCATTGTTAGCCATCGAGAATCAAATTCTTGAGGATCCTACCAAGGTCCTTGGCTCATGGAATGATTCTGCACACTTTTGTAAGTGGCAAGGAGTTACATGTAGCCGTCAACACCAGAGAGTGACTGCCCTAAACCTGTCATCCCTACAGTTAGTGGGTTCTCTATCTCCTCATATAGGAAATCTTACCTTCCTTAGGGTGATCCATCTCGAGAACAACAGCTTCCGTGGCACTATTCCCCAAGAAGTTGGTCAATTGTTTCGGCTACAGCATCTTTCGCTTGACACAAACTCATTCCAAGGTGAGTTCCCTATGAATTTAACTCATTGCTCAAACATCAGTCATTGACATATCTGAAACAATCTTGTAGGAGAAATTCCGACTGAAATGGGGTCATTGTCTAACCTTCTACAATTGCTTCTTTATAGCAATCATTTTGCTGGCAAGATCCCAATTTCATTTGGGAATATGTCCTCTCTTCAAGAACTTTATCTGATGTCTAACAATCTAGAGGGAAGCATTCCTGTGGAACTTGGACAGCTTTCCAATTTAAAGACTCTGCAACTGTCTGGAAACAATTTGTCTGGCATAGTTCCTACTTCACTTTACAATATCTCATCCATCAATTACTTTGCTGCAACTGAAAATCTATTACATGGAAGCCTCCCTCCAGATTTCGGATTGACTCTTCCTAATTTACAAACATTTTATTTTGGAAACAACCAAATCTCTGGGGCCATTCCACCATCACTAGCTAATGCTTCGCAACTTGTAAAATTTGACATTTCTTATAACGCTTTCACTGGGCCTATACCAACGAATTTGGGAAGCTTAGATGACCTTCAAATACTAAGCTTGGTGAGAATCCACTCGGAACTAATAAAGCTGATGACTTGAGCTTTCTCAATTCTTTAACCAATTGAACAAATCTTAGAGTAGAGGACTCTATTTAACTGAGAATGGATTTGGGGGTGTATTGCCCAATTCCATTGCAAATCTGTCAACCAAGCTTAGCTCACTAAGGATGGATGGAAACTACATATCTGGAAGCATACCAAAAGGGTTTGAGAACCTCATTAGCTTAGAGTATCTAGTATTGAATGAGAACATGCGCAAAGGAAGCATTGCTGAACGTATTGGGAAGCTTTCCAAGTTGCAAGAATTGTACCTATACAGAAATAACATCTCAGGAAAAATTCCATCATCCATTGGCAACATTTCTCAATTAAATATCCTTGCCTTGCAAGAAAATATGCTAGAGGGAAGCATACCTGATTCTTTGGGTAATTGCCAAACCTACAAGCATTGGATCTTGGATACAATCTCCTCACAGGGACAATACCCAGCCAAATTCTTGGCCTTTCTTCCCTTCTAATTGCTCTTTTCTTAGATTATAATCACTTGAGTGGACCACTACTGCCAGAGGTGGGTAACTTGAAAAATTTAGGAAAATTGCAGATTTCAGGCAACAAGCTCTTTGGAAAAATCCCAAGCACTATTGGTGATTGTCTAGTGTTGGAATTCCTACGTATGGATGGCAACTCTTTTGAAGGTAATATTCCATTATATTTGCAGCAATTAAAAGGCATTCAAGTCCTAGATCTTTCTTAGAATAATTTGTCAGGACAGATTCCAAGGTTTTTAGGTGAGTTGCCATTCATTCAAAATCTCAACCTCTCCTATAATATGTTTGAGGGTGAAATTACATCTGAAGGAGTGTTTAGGAATGTGAGTTCTTTTTCAATTGTCAGAAATAACAGGCTTTGTGGAGGAATCAAGGCGTTGCAACTGCCTGCATGTCCCCTAAAAGTCCCATAGAAACAAAGAAAGCCCTCTGCTCGCAAGGTTATAATTCTTGTGACCAGTATCACTCACCGTTACTTTGTCAGTTGTATGTGCTTGTTCTGTTCTTTATCAGATCAGAAGATCAAAGAAAAAGACTTCTTCAGAATGTCCATTGGGAAATCAGTATCCAACACTCACTTACGCAGAACATCTTGAAGCTAAAAATGGATTATCTTCCACCGACTTGATTGGTGAGGGAAGATATCGTTCTGTCTATAAAGGAATGCTCAATTCTGGTGAACAAGTAGTTGCTGTGAAGGTGCTCAACCTTCAACAACATGGAGCCAACAAGAGTTTCCTGGCTGAATGTGAAGCATTGAGGAACATTCGCCACCGCAATCTGCTCAAGATTATTACATCTTGCGCAAGCATAGATTTTAAAGGAAACGATTTCAAGGCTTTGGTCTTTGAGTCGATGCCAAATTGGAGTTTAGAGAGCTGGTTACACCCAACTTTATCTGAGCAAGAGGACTTGAGTTCATCTGTGCTACCAGACTCAATGAGCTTGAACCTAATCCAAAGGCTAAACATTGCCATTGATGTGGCCTCTGCATTGGATTATCTTCACCATCATTGTGAAACAACAATGATTCATTGTGATCTAAAGCCAAGTAACGTTCTTCTTGACAGCGAGCTCTGTGCCCATGTTGGTGATTTTGGTCTGGCGAGGTTTCTTATAGCTACCAAAGATAAATCTGATCATACATAACAAACAACAATGATTCATTGTGAAACAACAATGATTCATTGTGATCTAAAGCCAAGTAACGTTCTTCTTGACAGCGAGCTCTGTGCCCATGTTGGTGATTTTGGTCTGGCGAGGTTTCTTATAGCTACCAAAGATAAATCTGATCATACATAACCTAGTCTATCAACTGGAGTTTGAGGGACAGTTGTATATGCTGCACCGGGTAATTTATTATATCCTATATTTATTAAGTTTATTTTGTTTGATACATACTCTCTTCTTTTCTTTTCTTTTTTTATAAATTCTTTTGATATATACTCTCATTATAACTTCGTATGGAAATTTACTTAATATTGAACCAGAACCTAGGAAACCAGATGATAAGTTGATGAAATTATTTAATTAAATTCACTTTGCATTACCAAGTGGCTGAATTTTAGTTATAATATTTCTCTTCTGGCAGTGTCAGGGAATGAAAAAGTTGGGAAATAGTAGGTATTGAAATACACACTAATATTTGTTTCGAATTACAGAATATGGTATGGGTGGGGAGGTGTACTATTTCCAATTTTTCATATTTTCCATTTTCTGAGATTTTTCCGTCTTTGTCTTGTTTTGCGTGCCGGACACCGTAGAGTGTGCCAGATGTGACTGAGGTTGGTTGGAGCATTTCCTTGAGCTCAGAATTCTTGGAAATGCATTAGTTGCATTTTCGGCATTTTTTTCCGTTTTTCGGGTTGGGAGGTCCCAGGTGGGACCCGCTACTGGGGTCGTTGTGCACGGGATTGCGTTTCGAGTCCATTACATTTCATGTGTAATTATTCTGGGCATATTTATTTGATTGTATGAATTTTACGTGGTGGTAAAGTGATTGTTGTATATGTGTGTGTATATATATATTAAATAAAAGTGAGATTTTTTTTGGTGGGACCCATATGTGATTCATTTTTATGGCCTTAAGGCCACTTTGAACCATCAGTTTCTCTCTCTCACGCTGTAATCTCTCTCTCCCTTTTATTTTCTTTTTTTCTTTTTCTTTTATGCCTCATTTTTCTCCTCCATTTTTTAGCCAATCGGTCGGGTTTCCGGTCTTGGTTCCTTGATGGAAAATGTTCCTCTCGTCGTTCTCCATCACACAGTCAAAAGATTTAATTTTCGGAAAAGTGGTGATTATTTTATAAAATTTTAAAATTTTTGGATTTAAGGCTTCGGAGGGGGGTTTTGGGCCACTTGGATCGGATTCCGGAGGCACGCTTTTGGAACAGGAGAATCTTCTTATCGTTGGCTACGTTCTCACCGAACAGTTTTTCGTTCCGCCGCCGTTGACCGGTGTTAACTTCCGTTGACCAGCATTGACTGCGTTGACCGGTATTGACTTTTCTGGCAGGGGATACATTTTGGCTACTTTTGAGGCAGGGATGTCTAAACTATTAAGTTTTGACTTTAGTTGAGTTCGTATACTTGAATTCTTGATAAACATGCTTAAAATGATAAATTTTGAAAAAATTGAATGTCGGTTATGTGTTTACGTGCTAATGCGATGAAACATGCTCTAGATGATATTAATTGTATATGTATATATGTACTTAGTTGCAAAGTTGTTTAATGAACATACCTTGCGTTGAATTTGTTTCTTGAGATTACATATATATGATGATAAGTATGTATGGCTAAACTGATAAAGTGCAAGCATGTTTATATCGCTTTCATTTATGCATGATTTCATTCATGACATAGACATGGTTTAGGAAAAGTGAGGTTGAAATGATTCTTTTTAAATAAATGTGTTTGGAAAGGATTGTGAGGAAATGATTTAGAAATGAACCGGATTTCGCGAGTCTGGGGCTAGCTTGACCCAGAGGGAGCGCGGCTCGGTATAGGGCGTGAAAAAATTGATACTAGGCTCTTTAACGGTTGCCAGGCTTTGCCAGAATTGGAACCGAGGATAGCTATCAATCTCGCCTCGGTAAAGTCAGTTAGCGGGTTTCCGAAAAGTAAGTGTTGGGTCGGTATAGACCAAGTTTGGGATGGGTTGCATCACACATCATATCATGTGCATGATTTTGAAGAATTGTGATATGTGACTACGTATATTGATTATTATGTTATAAATGTTGTACGGACGGCAATTGCATGACCCCGACTTCTTTTCTATTCCCGTTCTTTGGTTATTGGCTCAAGGGAGTCCAAAACCGGTGTTTTAGGCATTACCTATTGAGCTGTTGAGCTCACCCCTTATCTTAACATTTTCAGGAAATTGGAGGAGTATGGACGTATGACTTGTATCCATGGACTTAGACGCCGCTGCCATTCTACCTACATTCGTGAGTTTTCTGTGATGTTAGTGATTTGATGTACTATGAGTCTTGGAAAGACGTATATATTTTATGCATTGACATAGGAAAGGAAGGTAACGCCTTAGATGACCTGGGGTTCGGGTAAGGACCCGGTAAACGATTTGAACCCCCGGGTTCGGGTCGTTACAGGAGGTTTCGACATAAGGTGATGTGTAAAGCTATGGAATTCTTTTATTGGAGATGTTTAGTTTAAAAAGGCCTACTAGCAGCATGTTTACCGACAACTTTACCCTTCGTAACTATGCTAAGATGGCACTTCCAGATGGGGTAACAGAGATTGTCGATTCCCTACTGATATTTGAAAAGGAATATATGCCTGAAAAGACCAATGAACGTAACATTGGGAGAATAAAAGAGTGCTTGGTGTCAATCCTTAGAATTGGAATTGTATGCTCTTCTGACCCACCAAGAGAACGGATGGATATTAGGGGTGTTCTCAATGAACTCCACAAGATTAGAAATGCATTTCGTGAAATAAAAAGCTCGTAGTAATGAACTTGTGGGACTGTTGAAAGTGTTGTTTGGTTGGAGGTTCTCAATGAACTCCACAAGATTAGAAATGCATTTCGTGAAATAAAAAGCTCGTAGTAATGAACTTGTGGGACTGTTGAAAGTGTTGTTTGGTTGGAGGTTCTCCCTCAACATTTGGGTACTTTTAGCATGCTTGAAAATATTATTTCCTTATGTAGAATGAATTATGGTTGTAAATGAGTGTTCTATTTCACTTGAATGAGGAACTTTGGAATAAAAATATTGAAACTGTACACAAGGGTTACTCTTTCAACCAAAAGACACAGAGTTTGTGTGGGCTTGCAGACTAAATTACTTGTCATACTGTTTTTTAGTTTTTACATGAATTATATCTTTTTAGTTTTTTGGGTAACAAAAACAGTTTTATTGATCAATTAACATAAAGGTAGTCTTCTTAAAATATCCACATTCAGTCTCTCTTAACAGTGGTGCTACGAGAAACACCGACAACCAAGAACAAGTCAAAAGTCACGACATAAAAGTAAATACGCAATATCCAAAGAACACAAAGATTTACGCAGTTCGGTGTAAGCCTACGTCCACGGTGAGGATCTGGTGAAAATTTTCACAATGCAAAAAGAACAGATTACAAGTTTCAGCCGTTAAACCCTAGCGCTCTCTCTCATAATCTTTTCTGCGGTTTTCAGTATTATTATCTTTTTTCAGACCCCAAACCCTAAACACCCTTAGACACTGGGTTACAAGAGAATTCTAGAATGGGGTCCATGACCCACAAGAAAGAAAAAAGGGTCAGTATTTTATTTTTATTTTTATTTTTATTTTTCACACCCAAAAACAACACCTTCCGTGGCACTATTCCGCAATAAGTTGGTCCATTGTTTCGGCTACAACATCTTTGACTTTACACAAACTAATTCCAAGGTGAGTTCCCTGCCAATCCGACTCATTGCTCAACTATCAGAGTCATCGATATATCTCTTGTAGGAGAAATTCCAACTGAAATAGGGTCATTGTCTAAACTTTTACAATTGCTTCTTTATAGTAATCATTTCACTCCCATTTTTATTTGGGAATCTCTCCTCTCTTCAATAACTTAATCTGATGTCTAAACTTTCTAATTTACAATATCTCGATACCCTTCAAGAACATTTTTTTTATCGTGCAATCTTTAACTATTACTAGTATAGAGCTCCGAAAAAGAATAAAATAATAATAATAAATTAAAAGAATGGTACATTATTCACGCAAACATTGCACAAACAATTTGATCAACGAGCTTAGATTTTATAGAAAGAAATTTCAAAATCTAAGCTACAAATCCAGAAAATTGAATTGTACAGTTGACAAGAAAATGAGAGCGAGTAATTACACAGACCGGTGTTTTGACGACGCGATGAGAGAGGTGGTTGGGGAGAGCGTAGGGCTCGTGGTCGAGGTCAATGAGCGCCGAACGGACAAAATACCCGAAAGAATGGTGAACGGGACGGCGTCGTTCGTGCCAGACGATGCCTTGGTACAGAGACACCGGTTCAGTTCCTTCGGCGGCGGATACATCAGCGACGGGCGAGGTGACAGCCGTTGGAGGAGTGAAGATGCAGTGCTGCAAGCCTGCAACTGAAGAAGGGTGAAGGAACAGTAAACATTTGTCTTATGATGCGGTTGGACATTTGGGCCTGGGCCTGGGCCTAGTTATGCTTTATTTACAATGCATTGCTTGGTGCCTTTGCTGTCTGTCTCATTAGTGGGCCCTGTACAGTTTTATACAATACAACCAATTTTGACCTTTCAAAAAAAAAAAAAAAAAAATGTGTGACGGTGTTGTGAGTCTTGTGACTCGTGAGTGTAAAGGGCCAACCCACCTTATGCTCGAGTTCGATTCTTTTCTCTCCTAATTCCCTAACTACTAACCCTCTAATCCCTGATAATTAAAAATAAAATAAAATTAAACAGCAAATTTATGATTATTTTTACTAAAAATGTTCACCAGAAAAAGGCCAATTGATGACATGTTCACGAATAATTTTAGCCTCCACAACTAATGCTAAAATGTGCCCTTTTAGGATCAAGTTGTGGAGATTCTTGATCATCAAAATATATTGGAAGAAGAAAAAGAATACTATCAAATCAGACCAGGCAAAGTAGAAGATGCAGCTTTTTTACTTTGACAATAAAAA